ACCAGATCTGGAAGAAAGGTTAAATTTAACCCAAAGTACTTATAACGTACCGATGGTACTTGGGAGGGAGTACTGTGGCGTTCCAACAGATACTTCAACTTCTATTCATGAGATGGCGCCACGTGTAAAATCCAGTTCTTAATCGGAGCAGCAAAGCGACGTCATTACTAACTCAGACTTCTCGAAAAACAACTGTACGCGACGGTAGCATGAACTGTGTTCCGATCTCTGCATTGATGTCTGCTATGTAATTTAGTACTTAATATATTCTTTTGTTATAGAAGATTGTCTACTCTTATTTTCTTTAATTACATCATGCATTAAGCACACGACCACCAAATATACACTCTGTCAAAGTCATGTGATATACTCTGTAATTTTACATTTATCCTTCCTCAGCCATAAAAGTTGCAGTTAATTAACAAGTACTCGAATTTTTAATCAGTTCTAGGTTACATGCAGTTATAATACAACTTCATACAATGAATTTCAGAATTTTCTTTAGATTTTTATGATATATATAACATATTTATCAGTTTTGCATTTTAAAAATATTTGCTTCAATTCAAACTTTCTTATATTTTAGTACATTTTGGTATGTATTATGTCAAGGAAACTTACATCTACTTAAATATTTGTATACATATAAACATTACATACATATTCAATTTTTGTGCTATTGATGTTTTGGTCATAAATACAGACTTTTTAAGGTATGAACTCTAATTAACTTAAGCATTGCTTAGAAATTTAATAATGTTTTTAATATTTAGGACACTGAAGGTTATCGTAAATGGCTGCAGATAGATACTGCAATATTTGAAGAAATTTTAAGTGTGGTTTCTCCAATAATAGCTAAACAAACTCAGAGCTTATTGGTGTAGTTCAGAATCGCACAAAATACCATCTCGGGAGTCTTACCAGCTGTGTGCAAAGCATTGTATGATGTTTTGAAAGCCAAACATATGGACACACCTACAACGAATAAGCACTGGTAGAAGCTGCAACAAATTCAAGATGGAATTTCTCAATGTGTTTTGGTGCCCTACATGGCAAGTACATTAAAATTAAACCTCCACCTGGTTTGAGAGAACTTATTAGACCATAAGGGTGATTTTAATATCGTTCTACTAGCACTGTTTGAAATTGATTAATTTTTGCCAGCACCAAACACTTTAGCAGGAACAAATATTTAAGTCTCATATGTCATAGTATGATGACATATACTACATATACTAACTCAGTATATTAAGAAGCCATATTCTGGAAAGTATCTTACAAAACAAAAAATTCGATTACAAATTGTCGAGAGCAAGATGACTTACAGAAAACGCATTTGTAACTCTAGCTACCAGATTTTGACTTTGGAACAACAATATTAACATCACCAAATGCTTAATACTTTGTTTTAGCTGCTTGCTGTCTGCATAACCTGTTGCACAGCAAATGAGAAATGACAAATTTATATGCTCCTGAACATAGTTTAGATGCTGAGGATTCGGAATATCACTGTATAAGAAAAGGAATATGGAATGAAAATACATCTTAATTTATTTCATTGCAGCAAAGTGCACGTAATGGTTCACAGGAGGCAAAAGAAGTTGGAGATAGATTTTGCAATTTCTTTAATAGTATTGGATTTATTCCCTGGCAAGAAGCCATGTATGACTTGCATTAAAGCGTAATAATTATGTATTATATATAGCCTACATATAGGGTGATCAGCAAACAAGCCCTGATTTCAAAATTAAATATCTCTACAAAGATCGATAGAATTATGCGGTAAACTGTATGTTTATTAGCAAAACTGTTAAAATTGTGTACAATGTGTACCTTTAAAATGTGCTTCGAAGTCAAAAGTGACCAGTACGACTGTTGGCTAGTGAAAAGAGGCTAGCTTAGAAAGTGAAATAATGTATTCCATTGAATAACATGTTTTTTTGGTTCTAGAATTTCACCGATTAGAACACAGTCCTATGGCAACACGTCACAGTTTTCAAAACCAATTCAATGTTCCAGTTGAACTTGATAAGAAAACCATTCGCATGCTCTTTGCGAAATTTGAACGGACTGGCAGCGTGGCTGAAGATCGAAAGGGAAATGTTGGGCCTAGGCAAACTGTAGTCACTCCTGAAAATGCAGCCAAAGTTTCTGGAACTGTTCAGCAAAATCCCAGGAAAAGCATCCGACGGATTGCATCAGACAGGTTTGAAGTACACGAGCACGCAAAAAATATTAAAAAATAGACTACGGCTGTTTCCGTACAAAATCCAATGTCACCAGGCTATACCCATGAAAGCTGTGCAACAAAGGGTTGACTTTGTGAGTCAGATTCTAACAATGATCGACAACGACAGATTTGATGTGAGCTGATCTGGTTCACAGATGAGGCACATTTTCATTTGAATAGAATCATTAATAAACAAAACTGGAGATTTTGGGGTTCCGAAAATCCTCATTTGTGTGAAGAGAAAGCACTGCATTTGCCTAAAGTTACTGCATGGGCTGCATATGTACCAGAGGCATATCAGACCCTTTTCGTAAGAGAAATGATAACTACTGAACGTTACGTTACAATTTTGGAACAGTTTGTCAGCAGTCAACTAGCGTTGGAGGATCAACTGGTTCATGCAAGATGGGGCTCGACCACATCGAAGTTTTTCGCTTTCTTCATGAATACTTTGAGAATAGAGTAATTGCGTTAGGCAGTTTACTTACACAGGAATAGCTTGGCCTCCATATTCTCCCGATTTGAGTCCTTGTGACTTCTTTCTGCGAAGCGCATTGAAAGACACTGTATATCAAAACAATCCTGCTACTGTAGATGAGCTTGAATCATTGATTGGTGTCGCATGCGATTCCATTTCCATTGAGACATTGCAAGATGTGAATTGTTTCGAACGGTGAACATTTTGGAAAAATTGTATTTTGATTGCAAAGGCTGCTTCACTGCAATACTTTTTTTTGACTCCTTTCAGAGAAAGAGTTTTCAGCGCAGAGCGCCATCTGTTAACGATTTTCGTAACTAAATTTTCTAAACTTTTGAACACCATTTTTACAGTTTTACTAATGTACATTTTACTGCATAATTCTATCAATCTTTGTTGTAGATATATTTAATTTTGAAATCGGGGCTTATTCACTGATCACCCTGTTATATGCATCAATAGTTTTTTATATGACATTGTTATTTATTAATTTTTATTTTTCATCTTGTTTCAATGCAAATAATTTTTTTCACTTTTCGTGGCAAAAATTTTTTCATCTCAATTTGTATAATAGTAATTTTAATTTCGTGAAGTAATATAGTTTAAAATATATAATTAATATTATGAAAGAAATTAATTATGAAATAATATATCTGCGTGAGAGTATATATATATATTTTATGTGTAATTAATTTGAACTAATATATATATATATATGAATAACTTAGTAATTCCTACTTAACAAGATGTTACTTTTCATTGTGAGATAAAATAAATTAAATATGACATGGCAACTCTTTCTTTTATTTTAAAGTATTCTTGTATGTTCCAATACACACTCATATATAGGGGGTGTTCACACATTTTTGTAAAGATTTATATATACACAAACCTCAGAATTTTTTTTTCTAGTATGTTCACTCTGATAACCCTTTCTTGAACTATCATATTACATCTTGATTTCCAAGATAAAAGGCCTTTTCTTAAAACATCAAGGTTGATTTTATTCCACTTCTCCTTCAGAGTCCATCCAATATTTTGGGATGCCAGTTATAAAAAGCTAGTTTTAAAAATCCATCTGCACAGTAATCCATGAGACACATGAGAGGACGTAGCGATGCATTTAAAGAGAATAGCTTCAATTCCGGTTTCATTTCTGATTTTTTTTTCAAGAAATAGAGCAGTAGCTTTAGAGGTATGGCTTAGAGCCTTATCCTGATGGAATCTAATACAGTAAGGATTGTTTGGATGAAGAGATGGAATTTATTATTCAGAAATAGGTGTTAAAACATATTTCTGATAATAATTCAAATCCTTATTTTAAGTTTCCCATTATAAGAGACTCCAATAAAGCTTTCCTTATTTTCTCTGAACCAACATATTAAATCTTTTTCTCCTCTTTTTTTGGTAGTAAATTGATCTTTTTCTATTGCAATCAGATAAGTATATCCAAGCCTCATCAACTAACTATATATTTCCATTTTTTACCTACCAAATAATTTTCATACAGCAATCTGCACAGTCTTACGCTGATCATAAATATGTTTCGGCATTAGGTAATGATCATCATGTTTTTTTGTTTTGATTAGCTTTAAATCAGATTCTTTAGTTTTGTTCACAGTTCATTCAAAGATATTTAAAGATTTTGTGATAGCTTTTTTTGGGGGAGGGGGGCTGGATTTTCCATTAAAGCATGAGATGCAACTTTAGTAAGAGTTGCACATACCTTTGTTGGGTATGTATTTTTAGCCTTTTCTCCAGTCAGCTACAAACTTTGATGTTTCTTTCCTTTCAGGTTAATTATATCATTTATTTTACATGTAGAAATATTAAAACAATGTTTTTCTTTTAGTAATTGAATAAGAGTACTTTTCTTAGGACAGCGCAAAAAAATAGCTTTCGATCCATTTACTAAATAGAAAAAAAAAAAAAAAAAATAGCTTACATCCGTTTACTTTTCAGCGATATTTTAAAGAAAAGAATATTTTTAGCGCTGCAGACTATAATTAAACCTTATCCCAACTGAATGCCAGTCACATTTGCATTTTAAAATTAATATTTAAATTCAAGTAGAAAATCATTATAAAAAATGTGCGAACACACTCTATATATCTTAAATATTTACTAATTATTAACAGTTTATTAAAATATCTAGTATATTCTTAATCATATATAAACACACATAAAACATTGAATCACTTTATTAAATTTTATCTGTTTATGACTGCCATGAAATTACTGCAAATTTATAATAAAAAAAGAGAGAAAATATTAGAAAAAAATAAACCATTATTCATGTTCAACAGAATTTTATTTTGGATGTTTAAATTCCTAAATCAAATCTTGGATTCCTTAACAGTTTCTGATCAGGACGTTTCACTATCTTCAGCTGACCAGCAACATATGCACCAAAAATTTTGATTTATGTCTTTCGCCTCTATAGTGCTTTTCAAACATTTTGTCAAACATCTGTTTTTTTTTTCTTTTCCTGTTCATGCCTGGAGCAATCAGTTAAGTTTCAGAAATTTCGAGTTTCAGTTATCAGTGGATTATCTGTTGCTTCATTACTGACAAAAGGGCAGAAGGACTTCTGGAAAAGAACTTTTAGTTTCTTGAACAGAATTCTGAAAGAAAAAAAATATTTAAAAAATGAATTTTTGTTATCACTTATATTAATTAATGAACAATAAATCTGATTCAACTAAAATTATGTATTTAAAAAATGTTTAGATATAAAATTATGGCAGCAGCTAAAATGTCCAAATTAAAATAGATTACTTTGTAATTCGAAGTAGGTTGATTGGTTTTTTTGGTAAAGGATCTGAAGGCTACTTCTGTAAAGGATACCAGTGTAAAATAAATTCAAACTAAGTTTATTAAATTTGTTTTATTGAATATGGTAAATTCTGCAAGGACTATATATATCAGAGATGGCTTCGTGGTAGATTTCCTAAGAGAAACTGGATAATGTTTATGTTACACCTTGGGAAAAACAAACATGCAGCTATCCTGATTGCCAGGATATGAACCTAGAGTGGCAAATGAGACAAAATTTTGAATTTCACATGAACCATAAACATACAGAAAGAAACATTATATGATTTTTATATTACAGCACAAATATAAATTTTCGATTTTTATGAATAGTTTTTAATATAAAAATATATAGTTTTAAAAATTACCATTATAATACACTCAAAAGAATTATCGATATTGCTGCAACTGGCCATAGCAGCAAAACAGTCATCTAAAATCTGGAGGTGTACATAACGTTCCCACTTGGGTACAAATCCAGTGGATCCTTGTTTCACTTTGCCTTTTCCCTTTCTTTACAAAAATATATCCTCAGGTTTTGAAATTTTGTCATCATAGTCTCTGTAAAATGGAATAATTTTATTATTATGTAGTACATATTATTGTGTATGTTATTCATACTAATAGGTTTTGTAGAAAATAGTTTATAATTTATGGCAAGTGAATCGGAAGATCAATTTATGTTAACAAAAATAAAATAAAAAATATAATTAGTGGTAAATAAAATAAAAACATGACCGAAAATAATTCGACAGAAATTGCAAAGAAACTGCAGCTATGCATCTACATGCAAATATATAAATATAATATGCATTATAATTGCAACCATATAAAATTACATTTATATAAATGCATATGTCTATGCAAGTATGTATTTATACATATATATTCCATACATCTACAAATCTACACACCTTATCATGAATGTAAGCTACCATATATATGCAAGTTTATATGTGTATGTATATATATTGTTGCAAACATACGGGTTCGTAATAGATCGAATGCACAAGTTCGATAAAAGTTTAATAAAATTTATTCTTATCACAACAAATATAATAGAATGCTGGATTTTTTCTCAGAGATATTCACACAATATCATGCAATATAATCAATAGCTATACTGTAAACTACTAAAAATGTTAAAATACAACACAATGCTACAAGAAAGCTAATCTGATCTCTCACTGAACTCTAAACAATAACAACAGCAGCTAACTAAATAATTGAACTGAGATATTTCTCTACGGAGTTTTAAAGCTTTCAATTGGTTGCAAGAGTGTACTAAAAATTTCTTTGCTTCTTGAGATTTCTGGAAAACAAGAGAGAAGAATTACAGTTACAGTTAACACGGTAGTCAATTACATTTATTCAATTTAAATATAAATTACGAGATACCTATTTATTAAATGTTAAATGCACATGCTCCTGTATTTTTCTTTTCCAGCATAACTTTCTCTTAAAATATCTCTTGTGCTGTGTTGCACATGCAAATAAAATAATTTTAACTATGATTCTACTAAAAATATCTAACTAAATACAAAATTCATAACAATAGATACGTGTGGTTATCAGATACAAGCACAACAGATACTGCATTTGTATTTTATAATGGTCTTCCTTTATACATACATATAAACTTACATATATTATATGAATGAACGAACACACACATACATATGTATTTATATATAACATACATAATTTTATATGGATTTAATTATACATATTTATATTATATCCTTACATTTGGATGTTCCACAGAACTGCAGTTTCCTTGTAATTTCTGCCAAATTATTTTTAATCATTAAGCCACAGATGCATTAGCCCAGAAGGGCTATTAGTCTTGAAACAGCATTTTGTGTCAAATCACTAAAAGCATTGAATAACTTTTCAAATTGTTGCCACCAAATATTATCGCCTAGTTTTATATTTAAACAAATTAAATAATGAAGGATCTGCACAAATGTATGTATGTTTCTCGCATTGTGAAAAAAAAAAAAAAACAATACTTAAAGCCATCAAATTTTGAATAATGTAGTCCTCCAGCCGAATATATACAACTGGAAGCCTGAATTTTTTATCATCTTCATTATTTTGTAAAACATTAATGATTTTTTTAATTCAAAAACTTGATGATTTAAAAGCAAGCAGTTGTAATACTGTATGGAATAAAACACGTATGCCTTTGCGCAGGACTTTCTGAGGGAAACTGGCTTGTATACATGTGACACATTGGCATCTGGAATGGAAAGTGCAGGTAATAATATGTTATTGGAAGGAAACAAAAATTTCATCTTCCAAATTTAATCAAATAACATATTTCCTTAAATAAAATTCTCAAAAATTTTAATACATTATGTAAAAATTTTTAGTTTGATATTATTTTAAAAATAGATATTCAGAATTACACCAGCAAACTGTATATTTTAAATTCCAATGAAAATGATTTTGAACAAAAAATAAACACCAGTAAGAAAAATCTAGATACAATGGACAACATTAAGATTTGGTTATTAGTATCACTTGTCAAATCTTAAACTATTGACAAATATTTTTAATGTATAAATATTGATATATATCCTAAATTTTGTAATAAAAATTCTAAGCTTTTGGAAATATGCATAAATTTACATTAAAGCTAATATTCAAATTTTTATGTTATAATTTAAAAATTGTTTCTGAAAAATTATTAAAAAGAAGGCATTTAAATTAAAAGTTTTTAGAAAAAAATCCGAAAATATACATGAACTTTACTTGCATTAAATCTAAATTTTGAATTATATAAAAAGAATGCAAGAAAATTAATTAAAAAGATATTAGCAAATGTAAACTAAATCCAATTAACTCAACAGAACTAAAATTTTGAATACAATTAAAAATTTAAAAGTCATGTTATTTTTACCAAATTTAGTACTTGGGCTATAGAATCAAACTATGTATGTACGAAAAGTCATGGCTTTTCAGAAAAAGGTTCTTTTTTGTATCAAAATATATATGTGCAATGAATGATATAAATAAATCTAAAATATACCCCACATAACACTTTCCAAACGTAAAAAAAATGCAAGCTGAATTTTAGAAGCTAGGCTGCCTAGAACAGGTTGTGTAGAAATTGCTCCTTTTATTTTGTGGGCTGTACATAACATCTCTCCAAATAAAGAAAAAAAATATCTTCATAAACAATCTCTCCAAATTCGTACATCACATAACTGCACATTTAACCCTTAGGTAATAGTAAAATACATATGTGGCCCTCACAAGTGAACACAATATTTTTTTATTCAGAATTTCCTAACTCAATCATCATGGAAATTCACAAAATGTCAAACAGGAGGATGGATCGACAGACAAGAAAATGTGTAAATAGAACACAAGATCAAGGAGACAATGCATAAACAAAAGACCAGCTAAAAGTAGCTGAAACTGTAAACCTTAGATAGAAAACATTTACCAGAAACCCTAAGGAATCAATATGTCATACAATTTAGGAACTGCAGATGTCACAGCCGCTTGTGTGGCATATTCTATATGAATGTCTTCATGCAAACATTCATGTACTTGACGCAGTTGTCACAAAATGTCCAGAATCAGTTTTCATTTTCAGTTTTGTGTGAATTTACATGTGAAGCTGGAAGATATTTGAGAAAACTATCACATATATAACATAATACATGTAACGATAACTGTAATATAGAATAATAGCTAGTAGTGCAAAATAAATAATGTTTATCTGATCTTCTTGTAATCTTTATTTCCACTTAACAATAATTTATAAATCAGGGGTTCTCAACCGGTGGTACGCAAGAGAAAAATAGGTGGTACGCAAAGTATTTTTCATTATTAAATTCAAAAGTTAAAACCCCAACATCCTGATTGAGTTTTTTCTCTAACACTCGTAAATTTATGCGATCTGAGCTTTGTTCAAGAATGGTGGTGGTTGTAGTACTTTGTAGTGGTGATACTAAAGGTTTTCAATTTTTGCTTAGTACTCATTAGTCAAAAGGTTGAGAACTGCTGTTATAAATAATATTATATGGCACAGTTAATGAAAACTTTTGAAGAAACATGCAAGGGTCGCTTGTGAATAACCTTGAAGAGACCCTCAATATTGATATACAAGTGAAAGGTATTTACAATGAAATTGAAACTTTTTGTGGTTGGTAAGTGCATTGTTTATTTTCATTTACAGCTGCTAAAAATACGCATATATAGACCATCTAAAGTCTTAAATATGGAGGGATTAAAGACAACAGAAATCTAAGTTTCGAAGATAATGTAAGGGAAAATTGGAAGAAGTGAAAACAAAAATTCCAGATTTACATTTTAGCATCCAGTAGTAATACTAAATCAGCTGAAATTAAAGTAGCTATATTATTGTATGTTACTGGTGAAGAGGTACTTCAAAAGTTTAATATTTTTGATTTAAGTAAAGAATATAAGGAAGAAATTGAAAAAGTAACTGAAGCTTTCAAAAAATTACTGTATAACAAAAGCAAATGAAAGTGTTGATAGATACATATTTTTCTCTAGAATACAAGAAGCAGATGAATCATTTCATGATTTCTTAACAGAGTTAAAGAAATTAAGTAGTAAACGTTGATTTGCAAAATTAAAACACAGTTTAATGAGGAACAGAACAGTAAGTGGTATTTTAATTAAAAGTCTTACAGATAGACTATTAAGGGAAGCTCAGTAACATTACAGAAATGTATTAAAATGTGTAAAGTTGCTGGATTAGCAGAATTTCAGCTCAAAACTTTAAATAAAAAGAATGAAATAGAATTGTTAACACAGAATAAAATCTCACCTTTAGAATAAAAAAATTAATCGCGTAATAGAGAATACCATATAATACAAAAGCAACAAAATACTACATCTTCATCAAATTATCAAAGAAAAAAAGTTCAGTAACTCAAAACCAAGTAGAAAATGTGGAACTTTTAACAAATTATACAACTGTTCTGCTTATAATGCGATTTGCTCATACTGAAAAAAGAAAAATCCATTTTCTAAAGTATGCATCAATAAAAATGTTAACATTGCATAGAATAACTTAGAGCATGAGTTACATTACAATAATAATGAACATATTTAAGATCAGTAAAAGATAAAAATTCATTTCCTAAAAACAGAACAAAATGGTTTCAAAAACTAAATGTAAATGTATCTAAATACTTATTTGTTAAGTTGCATACTGATTCACAATGTAATATACTGCCACTGCCTAAATTTAAATGAATAAATTTAAGAGATAAACTGAATTAAAAGTCACTTTAAATAATTATGCTGGTTCTAAAATGGATGAAATTGGAAAATTTAAATTCTTATATGAGACATCTAAAGGTGATAAAGATGAAGTGGAAATTTCAAGTAGTAGCATGAGATAAAACTGTTCCAGCTATTTTAATCTACCTATATTACAAAAATTTTATCTTTATATAAAGGAATATGTATAGCAAATCCAGAATCTAATGAAAAGTTCCCAAAATCTTTACACAGATATCAAGAAATTAATTGGAAAGTAAACTGATTCTACATATCACATTAAATTAAAACTA